ATTGTAGCATGTCAGTACATCATTCCTTTTCATTGTTAATTAATATTCCATTGTATGGATCTAACACATTTGATTTACCCATCTGTCTTTTATGGAAAATTTGGGTTGTTTGTACTTTTTTGTTATTGTCAGTAATAGTACTGTTGACATTCATGTATAGGTTTCATGTAGATGTTTGTTTTAATTTCTTTTCGGTATATAGGAGTAGAATTTCTGAGTTATATGGTAACTTTATTTTTTAATTTTATTGTAAAACTAACAGACTTTCCCAAAGTTGCTGCTACATTTTACATTTTGGCCAGCAATGTAAAAGGGTCTGGATCTCTCCACATTCTCACCCGTGCTTTCTTGTCTTTTTTATTATAGCTATCAGGGTAGTTATGAAGTAGTAGCTCCTTGTGGTTTTGATTTGCGTTTTGTTAATGACTGTGATAGGGTTGAGAATCTTTTCATGTTCTTACTGGCTGTTTACATATCTTCTTTAGAGAAATATCTGTTCAGATTCTTTGCCCATTTTTAAATGAGATTGACTTTTTATTTAGTTGTAAGAGTTCTTATGTATTTTGTATTTAAATCCCAGTGAAATACACAATTGGCAAATACTTTTCCCCCACTCTCCATGTTGTAGCATGTATCATTCTGAATTATTTTGGTAATGTCTGTATAGGTTTAGCTCATGCATTTATATGTGTGGTCCATTTTGAGTTAATTTCTGTCAAGTGTAAGAAACATGTCCTATTTTGTTAGTTGGTATGTGGATACCCAGTTGTCACAGTAATTTAAGGTATGGGAATACCTTTAGAATGCAGTTGTGTGCTATTTCAGATTGTTAGATTAGATCACAGTATATGTATATATAAAATCTAAATATATGTAATATACTGGAAAACACATACTTTTTATTTCCTAGCATCTTTGGGATATATGGGATTATTATGAATCCTGAAAAAAGATAATTCCTAAAGTACTTAAGTGTGTAAGTACTCTTAAATAATGCAATGAAAAGATGAGTAGAATATAGATTTTACTTGTTACTATGTAGTGGAGAAGTATATATATATATATATATATATATATATATATATATATATTTATAATTAGAATAAAGGTATCATTTTTCTGATTTGAGCAACATATTGAGAAAAAATTGCTAATCGAAGATTTTCTAAAGGAGTTAATAAAATTTAGGTTAAATTTTGAAAAATGAGAAAAATATACTTTACAATAAAGTAGAGAGGAGCAGAAGGAATTTATTTGCTTAAATATGAAAAAGAATACATACCTTTAGAGAAATAAACTTGTTAGGTATAATTGTAACACAAAGTAGATGGAACGTGGGTGTTTTAGATAAAATTGGGGACTGCAGGCTGGCTGAAGTGGTAGAGCTCCTGCTTTGCAAGCACAAAGTCCTGAATTCAAACCCCAGTCCCATTAAAAAAAAAAAAGATAAAATCAAAAAGGGGTGGGCTTTGTCATTCTGCTGGGGTGAGTACCTATGTCTCTTGGAAGTGCTTCTGATGGAACATTTGTGTATTATTACTTGTAATTATAGTTTTACATCATTCTTAAGGTCCAGTTTTTTGTTTTATGTACAATGTAATGTTTCAGTAAAGTAATACACAATTTAGAAATAAAAATATACATATATGGAGATCTAAAAAGCCTGAGAGGCCACTATTTCGAGTTATGGAAAATTATTGAAGTATTTTAAGTGGGGGAAGGACAGTATCAGATTTTTATTTTAGGAATTAACCATGTGGAAGAAGGATGGAAAGACATTAAAATAATCTAAGCCAGATACTATGAAGGATTCAACTGTAAAGCAGTGGTCTTCATCTTCTTAGTGTCTAGAGGATCTTGGGCCCTCTAAAGTTCTGGCTTCTTAGTTACCTAAAGTTTCTTGAGTAGATTGAAAGGTAATTGGAAAGGATTGTTGGGGTCTGAATTAGGATGTTTAATGCTATGTCTTTGTTGCATAAGTGCCATAATCTTCTTTTTCTTCTTGTAGAAAAAGCATTTTCTTCTCCCTAACCCATTACTTTTTCTTCAGAAGTCAAAATTTTTTTGTTTCCTTATATATTTTAAGGGATATATCATTGATTTTTTTCTTTGTTGGGGTATGATTTACATGTAATTAAATTAACAGAACTAAAATACACAGTTTACTTTGACAAATAAATATGCCCATGTTGCCATCATCCAAATAAAAATATAGACTATTTTCATCATTGTAGAAAGATTTTCTTCTTTATCCTGTCAATCCCAGAAGTAACCGCAGTTTTGATTCCTTTCACAGTATATTAGTTTTCCCTTTTATTGAACTTTGTATAAATGAAACCAAACCTTATATACTTTTATAACTTACATACTTTTTAAACTTTTTTAAAAAAAAAGTTAATGTTTTCAAAATTCATCCATCTTGCAAATATCATTCTTTCTATTTTATGACTATATTGTAATATATTTATCCTTTCTCCTGTTTGTGGGCATTTGTCTCCATTTTGAATTATTAATAAAGCTATTATGGACAGTTTTACAAGCATATGCTTTGATAATTTGAGTATATTCTTAGGAGTAGAATTGCTAAATCTTAGAATGGTTACATGTTTAATTCTATTGGAAGCTGCCAAGCTATTTGCAAAGTGGTTGTGTCATTTTATGTTCTAACAACCTGTGTGGTCTCAAGTTGCCCCACGTTTTCTCTAACATTTGGCATTGTCAGATTTTATTTTTAGTCATTATTGGTTATGAAGTGATATCTTGTGGTTTTAACTAACACTTCGCTTTGACTAATGATATTGAGTAACCATCTGTTAATTCATCATGATTACTGTGTTTATAGATGACTTATAACTTCTTTTGCCAGATGTATATTCAAGTGTTTTGCTCGTTTAAAAAATTGGATTAAATTTTAAGAGCACTCTCATATCTCCTGCTTGATCCCTTTTTCAGATATAGGCATTTTGAGTTTTTCCTTTAATCCATGGTTTCCCTAATCATTTTAACTGTCTTGATAAGCACAAGTTTTGGTAAAGTTCATTTCCTCAGTTTTAAATTTCATTGTTAGTGTTTGTGTATTGCTAAAGGAATCTCTGTCTATCCCAAGATATTCTCAAGAGTCACCACACCCGCCTGATTTTGTTGTTGTTGTTTGTTAAGAATGTTACTTTTTAAAAAAATTTCACTTTCTAAGAGTTTATTGTTAATACATAAAAATACAGAGTAGTATATAAAAATACAGATGATTTTTGTATATAACCTTGAATTCTGTAACTTTGTAGAGAATTCAGTTAATTTTAGTAGTTTTGTAGATTCCTTTGGATAGTCTGTGTATATAATTAGGTGAGCTGAATATAGATGTTTTTATTTTTTCAAATCTATTTTTATTTGCTTTTAATTGTCTGCTTAGGATCCTTAGAGTTTATTTTTGGTGAATTACTAGACAAACTTGAGTTGTCATACCTATTTCTAACACTAAATATATACCATGTTAGAATTTGGTGGGAAATAACTGCCAAAATGGAATTGAAGAAGGGATATTAGAAAGTTCTTTTTCAGTTGAGCCAAATAATCTTGAAAAGTCTATTTTGGAGACAAAACCTGGATGCCATCTTTATTGAATACAACCAAATTCTCCTTGAGATAGTAATTGATCAGGTTGGCCGTGTAACCCAGAATCTAGGGTTTGGTTCAGACAGTGTCTCTATATGATTTGAAAAGAATATTTCAACCTTAGTGTAAACTTGAAACAGGGACTTAGCTCTCATTTTTCTGCAGTAACTTCTCCTTCCTTAGTTTTACCCTTAACTGCTGTACATTGGACATTCCGACTAGCAACCAAGCTTCCATGTGTGTATCATTATATTACCTATTACAACGTGAGACTTTTGGTGTAGCCTATATATATGCTATAATTTAATATATGCTATTATTTAACAATAATTTTCTTCACATTAAAGAAAAAAAAATATTATATGGCAAATTTATAAAAGACCAATACTTGATTTACTTATGTAGTAAGATAATCCTTAGGACACTTAAAATATGGTTTAACTTAATTCAGAATTTTAAGTATCTTGGTAGAAGCACATATAAAACATCTACATACAGCCACGAAAACATGTTTTAAAGATCAGTATCACAGAATCTTTGCTTATGCATTTCCCGTTTAGTTTTAGACTGTCTGTGCTTGGCAAGTTGCTTGATTGGTATATCCTGACTAAGAGTGTTGCTGTGCTATAAATGATTATGACTGTTAACTTCTCCATTGGAAAGAAGAGCTTTGGGAGATTGGAGGTCCTGTGGGAAAAATCCTTTTTTTTTTTTTTTTATGGTTATATTGTATAAGTAAGGGCCTCCTTTGAACTTTTAATTAAAATGTTTTCAAGCACTTTCTTTTCAAATGAAAAAATTTAAATGCCAAAGCTTGATAAACAAGCTTGAAGCAATCTGTTAACAAGTGCTACAAATGTCATGTCATTTAAATTGATTCCGCAAAATACTTCTTTATGAATAATGCTGTGTGCTGTAATAAACTGAGATGTCAACAGGTTTGAGATTTTTATAATAAAAGTGTATTTTGTTGCTATTTATTTTTTCTGATTTTTAAAATTTATAAAATTTAATCATTTTCAGTTAAAAGTAACAAGTAGAGATTCTACTATTGTTGGGTAGTTTTTATCTGCTATTTTTAGGTAGTTTTTATTTATAGGCATGGGATTTACTCTGTACTTATTTTAAATGTGGAATCTTAAGAAAATTGTTTGAAAATTATAAATTTTATAAGTTATTTTATAGTTACTATTCTAGGACACTTCTTTTTCAAGAGCTGCTGTGATAAATCATTCATGTTTTCTTTTGCTTCCACTATGTGGAAGATAGCTATAGGATGAAACTTTAGATTAATGAGCAGAAAAAGGGAACAAAATCACTTATTAATAAGTGCAAAAGAAACTTTTGAATACTTTAAGGTGGATTTTTTTCTCATCCTGTTAAATATAGGGTATATTTACTTCTGGGACATGGGAAGAGAAATCAGATGAAATTTCCTTTGCTGACTTCAAATTCTCAGTCACTCATCATTATCTTGTACAAGAGTCTACTGATAAAGAAGGAAAGGATGAAGTATTAGAGGGTAAGTTTTTATAACACTTGAAAAATCTTAACTTTATAAGTGGTTATAATTTTGAATTATTAATTTAGTTCTCATAATTCAGTATTATCCTCAAGAAATGTTTTACAATATGCAGAGTTGTTTCACCACATGCAAAGTAGAGTACGAGGTAATACTGCAGTCAAAGTAGAATTACAGTGCTATTTGTTTTAAAATTAATTGAATCAGCACATATTTATTGAGTACTTAACGTGTGCTAGGTGTTCTGCTAAGCCTTTTTGAACCCAAACTTAAGTGAAATGTGCTGTTATGTAAGAAAGGTAAGATTTTTAAATAAGTAACAGAAGCAGGAGGTAGAAATAGTATCCCAAGGACAGATAAAGTTCTACTAAAGTTCAGAGCAGAAAAGATTACTTTTAATCAGGAGAGATCAAAGAAAGTATATGAATAATTAAACAAGCTCCAAGAAAGGATAATTTTGAAAACACTGGGGCTGTAGCTCAGTGTTAGACCACCTTACTAATATGCCCAAGGTCTTGGGTTTGATCCCTAGCACTGAAAAAAAAAGAGAGAGAGAGAGAGAGAGAAAGAAAACAAAAATGTAAAAGAAAATTTAGCTGTTGATTGGACAGTTGTAGTATTTTGGATATACCCTAGATTTTGGACTTGGTCCAAGTGGATTAAAATTATGATTTGCTTACTTGATAGTTACTTGGCCTTTCTAAGTTCAGGTTACCTCATTTATAAAATAAAATAATATTACTTGGAAGGTTAATGGGAAAATTTAATGAGATACTGTACATAAGTCCCTACCTATGTCAGTATCTAACCTATATTGGCTACTTAGTAAATGGTGCTTATAATTGATATTAGGACATATAATGTGAAAATATATTCTGAGATACACTAGTGTTATAGCAGTGAACAAAATATTACATAAATAAGAATTTCAGAGGTGCCGTCAAATAAAGTGGTCCCTTTTTATCTATGGGAAATATGTTCTAAGACCTCCAGTGGATACCAGAAACCACAGATAGTGTCAACGTCTACATATACTAGGAATTTTTTATATAAATACATAAATCTGTGATAGTTTAATTTATAAATTAGTCACAATAAGAAATCAACAATGGTAACTACTAAAATAAAAAATTATAACAGAATGCTAAAATAAAAGTTATTTAAAACATTAATTATAGCTGAGCATGGTGGTGCATGTCTGTAATCCCAGCATTTGGGAGGCTGAGGCAAAAGAGGATTGTGGGTTCCAGGCCAGCCTGGACTACAAAGTGAGAACTTGTCTTAAAAAATCAAAACCAAAACAAACAACAAAAACCTTTGAAAACCTTATGAATAGTTTATTTCTTGAATTTTCCATTTAATATTTTTGGATCTCATTTGGTAACAAACCATAGCAAGCAAAAATCACAGTTACTATATCCTCCCTTAATCATTCAGAAAATAAATAGGCAGAATGTGTAATAAAGTTTTTCTGATCAAAGCAGATTATCATTTGTAAGATATGCCTGAAGACCTGAAATATCTGTGCCCTTGCTTGTGTAGGAATAGCATTGCATTACCTTTTCTACTACATATATACTTACACACAAAGCAATTACATAACATCTGAATTCAGATTTATAAACTATGATAACATTACCATATATAAATATATGTAAGATAATTATATAGCAAAATAATAATTGGTGGAAAGTATGATAATAGCTCAGGAAGATCTGCATCCAACATTCTACTGATAAATGAAGGAAAGTATTTAACATGGAGCTAATTTAAGTTTTATTAATTTCCTCACTCAAGGGAAAGTGAGGAGGCTTTCACTAATTGTTTCTGATATAAATAGATGAAGAGGAGTATGATATAAGAGAAGATAAATGAATTTAAAATCAGAGGCATGTTGCTTATGTTTCTATTCTGTGCAGTTTTCTTTTTATTTGTGGTTGAAGTTGTAACTAATGGTAAAGTTACAAGCAATATGATCAGCTCAGTTAATTTAGAGATACACACTTAAAACTATCAGTCTGAAGATTGGAGCACTGATCTTCTATTATTTTGGTGTTGCTTATTGTTCTTGGTTAAGTTAAGGGTCAGGTCATTAGTGCTCTCATTTGTTCTGTTAGCATATTAGCAAAATATAAATTTGCTTTTTGTTTATACTTATCCAACAAAAATAAATATTTTAATAATCAGACATTCTTTATGCTTTGAATTTATTACACATTCATGAGTATAAATAATGTTAATTGATGTTAGTATCTTATTATGGATTGCAATGTATGTGTTTAAAGATACATGGGTTAGAAGTGGAAGCTGGCTGGCTGTTTTACAAAAAAATATTTAAGATAGGGTGACAGGAAAAAATATCAGCCATAGGTGATACAGATTTGACAGAGCTCTAGAATTTTGAGGAAAAATAGAGTCAAGGACAGACCAGGAAGAACTAATAAAATACAGCTTTATAGTAAGGTGAGGAATTGTTTGAGTAATGATTTAGAAGCAAAACAACAACAATAATAATAATAAGCATAGGAATGGTATATGTGTCTTTTATAACTGGCTTTTATTTGAAGGCAAAAGGAGAGGAGGAGAGGGCAGGGACTCCCTTCCACCTAAATTTTAGAGCAAGCTCCAGGTATAATTCTCTAAGCAATTGCAAAACTACATAGTTTAGAAAAAAAACGTATGTTTCCTTAAAGCATGTTATATAATTCTGCCTTAAAATGATAGACATTTTCATTATTAAATGTTTTTACAGATGCTATTCCACAATCCATGCAAGATTTACTGTGTATGAATAACGATTTTCCTCCAAGAGCACATTGCCTGGTAAGATGGTATGTATACCCTTTATTCAGATGTCTTTTGTTTGTTTGTTTACAATGGTGTAACAAGTTTTAATTCAAAATACACACTCTAAAAACAGTAGGTAGAAAAAATGTCTAACAAACTGAATTTATAAGAGTCCACCAATAGTCACAGGTCAGTTTTCAGATGTCTTTTTCATCAATGTGTCGGGCTGTGTCCAGTGATTTGTCAGAAGTAAGGAAGCACAGGTCCCAGCATCTAGTTGTGTTTACAGCTGTTTTTTTTCCTTTTGGTTGGTGCTGGGCATCAAACCCAGAGCCTTGCGCATGCTAAGCAAGTGCTCTGCCACTGACCTGCACCCTCAGCCCTATGGCTGATTTATTATAGCAGTACGAAGCTAAGCAAGCAGCATAGGGAAAAGACATGATGCCAGCAGAACTGCAAGCCTTTAAAAAGTCCTTTTCTAAGAAGAATTAATTTAGAAGGTAACAAATATGCACAGGAAAGCAATGCAAGTCAACTCCCTGTATAGCTATCTTTATCTCAACTAGCAAAAACCCTTGTTCCTTCCTATTATTGCTTATACTCTCTCTTCAACAAAATTAGAGATGAGGGCAAAATAGTTTCTGCCTGATAGTGAGGGGGTGGGGGGAAGAAGGAGGGGGCGGGGGGAAGGGGGGAGAAATGATCCAAACATTGCATATATGAATAAAAGGAAAAAAAAAAGTCCTTTTCTAATAAAGTCCTACTGGTTATAATGTGATTCTACTGACTAGCATAGAATATGTAAATATCATAGAAAATTATGTATTGTAAGAAATTGAAGTAAAATGTTGATTTCAAACAGTTATGTGATAAAATCAAAATTCACTTAAGTCTAAACTATAAATGTGATACATTAATGTTAGAGGCACATCACAGTTAAAAAGCTTTTAAATTATTCTAGGGGTCTCTGAACTTTATGTTAGAGGGGTGGTATTAAAACATGTCGTCCTCAAAATGTCCTCAAAATTTGGTCAAGAAAAGAAAAGAAGTTTATATATTGGTTTTAAATTATTCTATTGGTATGAATGGTGTTTTGATATCTTTTTTTTTTTCCTAAAGAAGAATTTCTAAGGGGGAGAAATTATATATTAAATATACAATTTTATATATAATTATTATACTTTTTTCTTCATTGCATTGTGATTACTATAGGAATGAACTGTGACATATTTTTAAAAAGAAAACTATTTGTTAGTAGATAAATTGGATTATATTTCATAAATATTCTGTTTTATTATAATCTTTTTAAAACTATGAACTTAACTTTAATAAGGAATTAATAAATATACTAAATTACCCATTTAATTTAGTCTTCCAGATTCTTTGTGATGTTGTAAAATGTGAATACAAGCATTTAACATGATTAAAAATATCAGAATGCAATGTGTTGTATAGCACATTGACTGTACATGCATACATTCATTTAACATTAATTGAACACCTACTATTGGCCTACCAGGCACTGACTTAGACAAACAGGTTTAATTCCTAGCTAAGGTACTTACTGTCTCTGCAACTTTAAGAAGTTACTTAATTTCTCTGCATTGTTAAAGTGAAAGTAATAAATAATATGCACCATTTAGGTAACTGTGAAGATTAAATAAGATCATGGCATATAGTAGCCTTATCAAAATTTAATGTTATATTCAGATTTTTAATGTTTCCCAATACTGTGTTTGACCTATAGTACATGGTCAAAATATTTGTTGAGTAAATAAATGAAACCTTTTTATCTACTAGTGTAAATTCAGGGTGTTTTTTTTTTTAATGTAAATCATGTTAGATTTTCTTTTAAAACTTAATTTTTTTCTTGGCTGGGCACAGTTGCTTATGACTATAATGCCAGCTACTCAGGGAAGGCAGAGATTGGGAGGATCATGGTTCAGTCCAGCCCAGGTAAACCATTAGTGAGACCCCCATCTCAATTAATAAGCTGGGTGTGGTGGTGTGTGCCTGTCATTTGTACTGTGAGAAAATGTAGGTAGGAGGATCATGGTCTGAGGCTGGCAGTGGGGAAAAATGTGAGGCCCAATCTGAAAAGTAACTAAAGAAAAAAAAAGAGGGGGGTGTCTTTATTGGTAGAGTGTCTGCCTAGCAAGTCCTGAGTTCAAACCCCAGTACCACAAAAAAATTGTCTTTTAAATTTATATGTGGCAAAATAGATTTTTTTGGGTGGGGGGAGTGAATAGTTCTTTGAACTTTAATGCATCTATAGATTTCTTTTTAACTATTTCAGGATATAGAACAGTTCTAAAAAACACTTTTGTGTGTTAATAGTCACACCTTCCTTGTATCCTTGTAAGTTCTGTAATCAGTGATCTGTCTTTGTCTACTTTACTTCTGTTCTTTCAAGAATGTCATAAAAATGGAATTACATAGTATAGAATCATTTAGTCTGGCTTCTTTTACTCAACATAGTACCCTTTGAGCTTCTTTGAAATAATTCTGTGTAACAATAGTTTGTTCCTTTTTGTTGCTGATTAATATTTTATTTGAAGCTATGCCACATTTGTTTACCCATTAATTTGTTGAAATATATTATTTCGGCATTTTGTGTAAAAGTACATTTTCATTTCACTTGGGTGAAACCTAGAGTGGGATTGCTAAATCATGTTCTAACTGTATGTTTAACTTCATAAGAAACTATCAAACTGATTTTATAGAGTAGCTGTACCATTATGCATTCCCACCAACAAGGTATAAAAATTCCAGTGTTCCACATTCCTCACTAGCACTTAGTACCCATCCTAATTTTAATTTTCAGCATCTTTCATATATTTATCTATTATATGTATTCTACAGTGAAATGTTCACACTTTTTAATTTGATTGTTTTCTTAACATTGAGTTTTAAGAATTTTTTAATATGTATTTTGAATATAAATCCTTTTTGGAATGTATGGTTTGCAAATATTTTTCCCAGACTGTAAGCTTCTCTTTTCATTTTCTTAACTGTATCTTTTCCAGAGAAAAGGTTTTGCTTTCTGTATTTCTACAACTTTTTTTTTTTTTCTCATGATACTGGGGTTTGAACTCAGGGCTTCATGTTTCCTAGGCAGACACTCTTCCACTCAAGCCAGGTACCTGCTAGAATTCTCTAAGCCCATTTAACTTCTTCAGGGGTGTTTTTAAAAGGTCTTTCAAAGAGCCAGGCATGGTAGCTAATACCTGTGATTTCAGCACATGGAGGTGAAGGGAGAAAGATGGTGAGTTCAGGGTCAGCCTGGGGTACATGGTGAGTCTCTGTCTCAGTCAAACAAATGAACAAAGAGGGGTCTTTAAAAAATATGTAAGTGTGATGAGTTTTATGGTCCAGACAAGGTAATTAATTGATGTTAATGATGTACTTTGTTGGATGGGTCTCTCCACCTCCCTTTCAATGCCTTCTAATGACTGTTTCTAAAGGTATTAATAGAGATTTATCCTATTAATTTGTATCCCTTATAGTAATGGAAATAACACAGACTTTAACCTTAGCAGACATGTGTATGCAAATGTAAATTCATGAAATCTCTTCTTTTTTTTAAGGAGTATATCTATTTTATTTTACTTTTTTATTATCATATTGTACTGGCAGTATATTGTGACATTTACAAAGTTCTTATATCATAGTTGAATTCACCCTCTCTATCATGAAATCTCTTCTGAGGGAAATTTTAATAGAAAGGTGTAGTAAGCAGGACAATGAATCTCCCCTCTCCCATCCCCCTCAGCTACCACATCTGTTCACATCCTAAATCCCAGAACTCCTGAATATAGGTTAAGTGGCAAGAAGGAAACCAAGGGAGCAGATGGAAATAAGGCTGCTAACCTGCTGATATTAAGATAGGGAGGTTTATCATGGATTATGTGGGAGGACCCAATATAATCATAAGAATTCTTAAAAATGAAGAGGGAGGCAGAAGAAAATCGGTGTCAAAGTGATTGCTACAAGAACTCAGCCTGATGTTGCTGACTTTGAAGATAGAAGACAAGGGACATGAGCCCAGGAATGAGGTATAGTCTAGAATTTGGAAAAGACAAGGAATAGATTCTCCCTAGAGAATCTCAAATCCATCCAAATGTAGTAGATTTGAAAGATTAATAGAAACTGTCCAATTAGAAGAGTAGAGAGAAGAAGAAGTTTGGAGAAAAGTGAGCATTTTAGAGATCTCTGAGTTTGTGTCAAGTGTCCCAAAGTATATATGTAACTGGGAGTCCCAGTTGAAAAGAAAGAAAAGAAAACAGTCTTGCTGATATTTTTCTTTTAACCTGGTGAGATCCATGTCAGATTTGTGAGCTGAGGAGCTGTAAGGTAATAAATTTGTGTGGTCATTTGGTATGCTGGTAGTATGAACTAATATAGAAAATGAAAGCAAGAAAACTGTAGATGCTTGGGGTGCCTCTACTTAGAAAAGAAAAATGCATTGAAAGGACAACTAGGTTTAACAGAGAACGAATTTTATCCCCATGGTTTTGCTTTGTCCAGTCTTGTCTTGGTCACTACAAAGGAATAGCTGCCACAGCATAAGAAAGTTCACAGTCTTACACACTGTGTTGTTAAATAATTATTCCTGGCTTTTTAAAAAATGCTTTTTTGTGTTTAACCTTCAAAGGACTTCTGTCAGTAGTAGCATGACAAGGTTGGTTGTTCCTCTGTGAAAAGAAGTATAAAATTAGACAAAATTGTCAAAAACAACCAGGTCTTGCCCTGATTCCTGTGGCCGTTCCTTATCACTTCTCTTCTTTGTAATCTGTGTTACTGAGAGGTGTAGTCTGTGCTATCCATGAAAACTATCAGCCCTGTTGCAAGATGAGCAGACTTGAATTCTGTATGTCTTTGCCAACACTTTCACTTTAACCTAATGAGGTAACTTAATAATCATGTGCTGAGAACATGTTTTCACAATCGTGGGTCTAGACATTTGACTTAGCACTAATTTTAAAGCAGAATTAAAGGAAATGATGGTATTCAAATAATTAAAAATATACTAGCAATGAGCTAA